TGTCATCAGCAAACTTGCTGAGGGTACACTCTGTCCCCTCATCTAGGTCATTGATGAAGAAGTTGAACAAGACTGGGCTGAGTACCGAGCCCTGGGGAACTCCATTAGCCACCAGCCTCCAACTAGACTCTGCCCCGCCGATCAGAACCCTCTGAGCCCTGCCATGCAGCCAGTTCCCAATCCACCTCACCGTCCACTCATCCAACCCACACTTCCTGAGCTTCCCTATCAGGATGTTATGGGAGAGAGTGTCAGAAGCCTTGCTGATGTCAAGGTAGAAAACAGCCACTGCTCTCTCCTCATCTATCCATCCGATCATGCCATCAAAGAAGGCTATCAGATTGGTCAGGCATGATTTCCCCTTGGTGAATCCATGCTGGGTACTCCTGATAACCTTCTTTTCCTCCACTTGCTTGGAAAGGACACCCAGAATGAATTGTTCCATCACCTTTCCGGGGACATAGGTGAGACTAACTGGCCTGTAGTTCCCTGGATCCTCCTTCTTGCCCTTTTTGAAGACTGGAGTGACACTGGCTGGCCCCCAGTCCCTCGCAACCCCTCCATCGGGACCCATGCATTTGTGGGTGTCCAGCTTGCTTAAATAACCCTTTAAGCTGATCCACCTCAACTGAGAGAAGGTCATTCTTTCTCCAAGCTTGCTCGCTTACTTCCAAGGACTGGGGAGCCTGAGGGCCAGCCTTGGCAGTGAAGACTGAAGCAAAGAAGGCATTCAGTAACTCTGCCTTCTCTGTATCCTCCCTGGAGCTGAGGCCTGAATGGCAGCATCCTCCCTGTGGAGGTCTGTTGCAGGATGACCTCTGATGTGCCCAGGACAGCTGGCAAAGCCGTGCTGAGGATCATCCACTTTAGTGCATGGGCACCAGTGTTATTTAGTCACACGCTGTCTTGACCAGAGCTTCTTGGCCCTCTTTGCCCCCCTACTGCAGTGATTGCTGAAACCTAGACGTGCTCCTCTCTGGGCATCAGCTTCACGGAGATGGAAGCCTGCCCTTCACCCCACCCAACCTCCAGGGATTCTGGTGGGAAGAGGGATGCAGGGGAAGGCCCCGTACCTGGATGTGAAGTTTCTGTCCCAATGTTTCTCCCACTACATACCCAGGGAGGCCATCAGTGCCTGGGCATCTCACCTCAGGGAGGGCATTTCGTTCACCCTGTTGCTGTGCTCATGCTGCAGAGTTGGGGACAGATCTGGCACAGAGGGATGTTGCCTGGGTGGCAGAAGAGGCTCAGTGGTTTTCTCCTCTCCATCAACCACAGAGTAGGTCAGAGCATGAGAACCAGTGCTTGCAGCAAGA